CGAAGGGGCTTCCTAGTGTGTGGAGACCTTTCCTCCTTCACAGCTCCCTCCCACTGGTGCAGGTGCCGTCCCTATTCTTTTGTCTCTGTTTTTTATTAATTTTTTCTTTTGCCCTACCCAGATACGTGGGGAGTTTCTTGCCTTTTGGGAGGTCTGAGGTCTTCTGCCAGCATTCAGTAGGTGTTGTGTAGGAGTTGTTCCACACGTAGATGTATTTCTGGTGTATTTGTGGGGAGGAAGGTGATCTCCGCGTCTTACTCCTCCGCCATCTTTCCACCGCCCCTCTATTTTTGTTTTTATTTCCATTTCTCTAGGAGGTGGGTCAAAAAGGATCTTGCTGTGATTTTTGTCATAGAGTGTTCTTCCTATGTTTTCCTCTAAGAGTTTTATAGTGTCTGGCCTTACATTTAGGTCTTTAATCCATTTTGAGTTTATTTTTGTGTATGGTGTTAGGGAGTGTTCTAATTTAATTCATTTACATGTAGCTGTCCAGTTTTCCCAGTACCACTTATTGAAGAGGCTGTCTTTTCTCCATTGTATGTTCTTACCTCCTTTATCAAAGATAAAGTGACCATATGTGTGTGGGTTTATCTCTGGGCTTTCTATCTTGTTGCATTTATCTATATTTCTGGTTTTGTGCCAGAACCATACTGTCTTGATTACTGTAGCTTTGTAGTATTGTCTGAAGCCAGGGAGCCTGATTCCTCTGACAACTTTTTAATATACTTTCATGCAGGAATTTGAATAACAACACATATACTACTAAAGGGACTTGATACATTGTTGTTCCAAATGATGGTTTTCATTTGTTTTGAATCCAGTAATAATCTGTAACAAAATAAAACAAACTGTATTCTTTCAAGTGAATTGACTCCATGTTCTCTGAGTGAACATTTGGTTCTACATTTAGTAAATAACTGCTGTGGTATGCTGAGGACCTCCTATAAAACTCAACACCATCCCTGCTGATAGACCTGAAGTTTCTATGTTACTCATTTGAATAAAGTTACCTTCCAAATACACTTTATTTTTATTATTATTAGTTTTTGCGGAATGCGGGCCTTTCACTGTTGTGGCCTCTCCCGTTGCAGAGCACAGGCTCCAGACGCGCAGGCTCAGTGGCCATGGCTCAAGGGCCCAGCTGCTCCGCAGCATGTGAGATCTTCCTGGACTGGGGCATGAACCTGTGTCCTCTGCATCAGCAGGTGGACTCTCAACCACTGCGCCACCAGGGAAGCCCCCAAATGCATTTTTAAGGGAGATGTAATATGTGCTGTTATTGTCTTACTTCAAAATGTTTTATTTTAATAGCTGGCAAGAGGCCAAGGGAAGGCAAAAAGTACAGCCAGATGTGGTGTCAGGAGAGGAACTGGAGTTATAAGACATTCCCAGGTGGGGTATCAGAATAGGGATGAAGTGAGTAAGATTAGGGCTTTAGGTTTCTGGGAGATTGTTGGTGATGGGGTGGGGGTGAGGTGGCTAGACAAAAGGGCAAGCAAGAGAAAAAAATGTGAGGAAGACACACTTGCCTACTTTATAAATTTATATAATTTGGAGGTTGACACCCTGGTTTTATAACTTATTTTATAGCACCTAGTCCAGTGTGTTTTACAAATGAAAAAGATTAGGTTGATAGAAAGCATTGAGGTGACTATTTTAGAAGCTATCTCCCTAAGTATTATTCTGCAGTTGGAAAATTTAAATGCTTTGGGTATTTGGCCTGAAATGCCTTTATTTATTTTGCATGGATCATTGCAACAGAAATACATGTATTTGCTAAATAATAAGAAATCTATTTGAAGCCTTCTAAGAAACATATTGAACTTGTATTTATTGAAGTATGAAAGCTAGAACACCCAGATTTGCAGGAAATTATGGATGAGAACTTATGAAATACTTCAAGTAGGTTATTTATATTGAAAATTGTCCCAGACTAAAAAGTCCTGTCTTGCTCTGTGATCCTGTTTTGCCAAAGGCAAATCAGTTTCTGAATGTAGATGGGAGGTATTCTGACCTATAATACAAATTTGTGTCTTTAGTAAAAAGTCTTACCTTGAACTACAAAGTTATTTGATGACTATATCTAGATATAGTAGCTTTAATGGGAGTAATGTATGGGATAATGAATGATCAGCTCACATTGTATTATGATTCTGTTGCTAAATGCCCATATGAGTACGAGAAACATAAGCTAACAGGCATATTATGGTGCTATAGGGAACAATGATTCTTAAGATTAACGTGGTATAGGGAACAATGATTCTTAAGATTAAGTCCTCACTATTTTCCTTGTTGCATACTTTTTTCTGCAAGTCCTAATATTTCAAATGAAAGTGGGATGTGTGTGTGTGTGTGTGTGTGTGTGTGTGTGTGTGACAGAGAGAGAGAGAGATTTTATTATTTTAAGACAGATTTTTTGTTTGTTTTTAATATTTCTGATGTTCAATTTTCCTTTAATACCAATGTGCCCATTAAATTTGATACCATTTCTTTTCATCACGAAAAGCCATTGTTAAATCATGGTACATGTTATAGTCTGGCATCCTAGAACCAAGAAAATGTTGTATAGATAATATAAGTAGCCCCTTGATATTATATATAAATATCTCTTATATATCTAAGATTTTTTGTAATATCTCCTCCCTGCACTTTGATTAAAGTAACCTTGATTTCTAACCTTATTTTATAGCACCGAATAGGAATTTAGTGGTGGAGGAAAGGGAAGCACTCAGCTCAAATAAGGAATCCAAGCAAGTTGCATCAGAAGAGCATACACTGGAGAAGAAAGAAGCAGTGGAGGAAGATGAAGGTCCCCAACACAGGGATGCTGACACAGAAGAAAAAGGGGATGCAGCACCGTGGGGAAAAGCAGGGGTTAATGAGGCTCCCTTGGGGCAGTGGAAGCCAACAGTAGAGCAGCCTGCATTAGTAGGACAGTTTACAGAGGAAAGAACGATCCCTCAGGGCGTAGTAAGTGGGGCAGAGGCAGAAGCAGAAGGGGATAGAAAGCAACAAAAGGAGGGGTTAGACCCCAGAGGACAAGAAGCAGCAAGAGATTCTGGAGGTCTGAATGAAGGCGAGGCTTCTGAGGAGCAGGCCTTGAAGCAAACGGTGCTGGAGATGGAGACGGCAGCTTCTGACGGGGAGCAGGGTGAGGAGAAGGTGGTGTTTACAAGCCAGGCAGCAGCCCTGAGGTCACAGAGTGCTCAGGAGGCAGCAGCCCTGAGAGAGGCGGCAAGGCCGGAGAAGGGAGAGTCTGAGGGAGTGGCTGAGAGCGAGGCCGGGTCTGCAAAGCCAGGTGTGGAGGACAGTGAGGGGGAAGCATCCACAGACCTAGAGGACGTGGAACCCGGAGAAGCTACACCCGAGAGAGAGGAGGGTGTAGATGAGGCCATCCTGCGGGGAGAGGCGCCAGCCAAGGAGAGGGGGGCAGTTCTGGGAAGGGAAACACCCTTGAGCTCCTGGACTTCTGTGAAGGCCCAGGCAACTCGGACGGGGGTTTTGGAGGACAGCCTGGAAGAACTTCGTAAGGACCCTGTGGAAAGGGAAGAGGTTGAGATAGAGTCAGAGTCTAAGAAGGAAGATGAGAGGAAAGAAATGTCACCTGAGGAGTCAGGTGCAGCGCGCGAGACAAGGAAAGCTGAGAGGCCAAAGACACCTCTGGGGGAAACCGAATCTGAGAGGGAAGCGGTGGCAAGGACAAAGGCGCTTCAGGATGAAGACACTTTAGAAGAAGAGCAAAAGTTGAAACAGGAGGAGGGGGAACCCATGAAGGAAGTAAGACCCGAGGAAGAGACACAAGCCCCCCAAAATGTCATGGGGCATGGTGCTGAGGATGAAGCAGCCGTGCGGGCATGTGAACTGACTGAAGACGCAGGGCCACAAGGAGAGGATTCACTGACCATGTCTGAAGCATCCCCTGGATTTGAAAAGTCCCTGGAGAAAACGGTTTGGGGGAAAGAAGGAAGAGAAAGACCGAGAGAAGCTGGAGACACAGGGCGCAGAGGCAGAGCAGGGCTGTGCCTCCGGGAGAACGTGGCCCCTGCAGAGAAGGACGAGGGCGTGAGCCCTGCAGGAGGGGGGATGTCAGGAGCCCCCGAAAGCGAGCCCTCGGTGGGGGCACAGACACCCGGGGCTGCCGGCGAGGCCCGCGAGTGTGCAGCCAAACATCAAGACAGCCTGATGGGCTGGGAGGGGAGGGATAAAGAAGGGCCTTTACAGGGGCCACAGGGAGCGGCTGTGCCAGCCAGGATCCAAGAAGATGTTCCCGAGGGAGACGCCACCATGGCAGGAAAGTTGAGTGGAGAAGTGTTGGGTGAGGACCCAGAGGAGGCGGCGGATGAAGAGCGCACTCTGGGGGTAGGGCTGATGAAGAACGGGGACACCAAGGGGGACAGGGGCTCGCGGGGCGTGGTTGTAGCTGGGGAAGGTCGCCACCAAGGAGGAGGAGGGACAGGGCCAGCCGCAGAGCGGGAGGCGTTGGCAGGTTCGAAGACAGCTGGAGGGCAAACAGAAGCGCATGAAGCCTCCTTCTCAGATGCGGCTGGGGAGGAAAGCTGGCACAGAGTGGATGAGACACTCGGAGAAACGGCAGCTGCACACAAGGTGGCTGTAGGGGAAACAGCGCTGAGCGGGGAGGAGGCGACAGTGACTTGGGAGACGGAGGCTGAGGTCGAGGCTCCAGGACAACCTTCTGACCTGGAAGGGAGGGCCCCACCGCCAGGGCCGGCTCGCGAGGGAGGGGAAGCTAAATCCACACAGGAGGCGGAGTCCGTGAGGAGTCCGGGGCAGCTGAAGAATTCAGACCGGAATTATCCCAAGAGAGAGGGTCAGAGCCCAGGAGAGAGAGTGCACGGGACGCAGGAACACTCCCTGGAAAGCCCGATTGCACTGGGGCCCAAGAGAAGCGAGAGCATGCAGTGCACAGAGGAAGTGAAGACCCAGATGTTCCGCTGAACCCCAGGAAGGCCTAAGAGACTTGATGGTGAGTTTAAGCCTGCGCTGTCTGCAGGATTAAACAGATTCCCTCACCTGGGGTCTCTTCCCCTTTGTGTTGGCTCATCCCTTTCTCAGTGTCTGCACACACACACACACACACACACACACACACTCTGTCTCTGTCTCTGTCTCTGTCTCTGTCTCTCTCTCTCTCTCTCTCTCTCTCTTCAATTCTGGGCTGCTGGGTGAGACGGAAAGGGTGGCCAAAGCCACACAGGGACCAGTTTCTGTTCCCTTCGCAGCTTAAAGTCACAGCCCCTGTCTCTGCAAGCACAGCTCTCGGAAGCAGTGAGATCCTCCTTGCCTCCCTTACAGGGCCCCAGAGATGGGTGCAGAGGAGAGAGTGTGCCACAGGGACAGGTCACAGGAGGAAAGGCTTAGACTCTGTTCCAGAATTAATTTCCCTTTGTGATTGTTTGCCTTTAGATGGGCTCTGTGTCTCCATTCTGCACTTCTGTGAAGTTTAATAAATATATATAGCACATATCTGTGACATATATTAAAATATTTAAAACGTGTTAAAATATATGTAAAATATTGAAGACTGTAACTAAAGACCAAAATTATTTCCAACATTTCCTCGTGTTCCTGCTTGACGCCCTTGTATCCTAGTGCCTGGTTTCTAGTATCCTGAGTGATTATATTCATAGTCCTATCCTTTTTATTATTTTTCAGGATATTTTCAAGATGTCTTCTGGAAGACTTAGAGTGGAGGAGACGGATCACCTGAGCATCTCACCAGGACTTTAGATTTTTTTTTTTAAACATCTTTATTGGCATATAATTGCTTTACAATGGTGTGTTAGTTTCTGCTTTATAACAAAGTGAATCAGTTAACCAGGACTTTAGATTTTCTCTTTTTTAAAAAAATCCCTGTGCTTGTCTGAGCAGTTCCCAGTCTGCCAATGCTGGTCTGTAGCACCTCAAGTACCTTGAGAAGAGCTGCTCAGACGCTCCCTAGGGTGCTGGTTCCTAATGGAGGAGGCTGATACCTAAGTCTGCATAGTTAACATGTCTATATTCAAATCAAATTGATAGTTTTCAAATGTTTGACTTTTACCAAAGATTACCTGAAAGTCCCAGTCCTGATGTCTGGGGTTTGTTTAAATTCCTTTTAATTTATAATCACACATTAGTCCCAATTTCACACATGAGCGTTTTATTTACAGTCTGTGGCTTTGCCTGTGAAAATGAGCTCTAAACGTCCTTCCTGGTATACTCAGTGCTAAAGATTGCTCCAGGACCTGTAAGTCCTTCCAGAAAAGGATTCCATGGCATGTCTATTCACTTACACTTAGAAATAATCATGCTTTCTATTTTTGCCAGATGAGTAATTTTAAGTGTAAATCTTGTTTCAAATTGCCCTTTGTTTTTGCGTGTTTCTGTAGTCTTGCTTTAGAGGTAGACAGGTAAATGCTTGTGGCATTTCACTCCTGGGGGCCTTATCTATAGGGCCACTCAATTTAAATCAATGTAGTAAATAATTTAGCTGCGTAAAATGAGTAACAATCATTATAGCAGGTAAACATTGAACATCAGTCCATACACCAACATTCTAGACTCTATAGACTCCGGTTGGTGTCATTCAATGGAAAAGAAACTTGGATTAAATTAGCATGCTGCTCACCTTCCCAAGTTCTGTTATTTCAAACCTGTGAACTAACCCTGCAGTGCATTGCAAATCCATGGTCACAACTTCGTCCTAAATTACCCCTGCCCCCACATCACTAGGAATAGTTGTGTATCAGTGTGCCCCTTGGGGATTTTGATTTCCTTGTGACACCTTTCTTTGTTCATATGCCAGTGCCCCAAAGGGCACATATGTTTGGCCATCTTTTCATTATGTGAGGAGGGGAAAGAAAATGTCCTAAAGCAGTTATTCTCCAGTTATGCTACACATTAGACTTTCATGGGGCACTTTCATGAATGATTCAATCCCTGGCCGTACCCCAGAGGTTCAGATCGAATTAGTTTTAGATGGGTGTAGGCATCAGTTATTTGTTTTGTTTTGTTTTTTAATTCTTCAGTTGGTTTTACTATGTAGGCAAAATTGAGAACTGCTGCCCTAATCATTATACAATCCATACTGGCTGCCCTGTGTCCCTAAGAACCAGGCATATTATCTTTATTATTATTTTTTATCTTTATAAATGTGTTTCATTTTAATAAAGGAGTCATTCAGTGATCAAAGGTATAATGGACCAGTGGTTCTCACAGTGTGGTCCCTTGATCAGGATATCAGCATCACCCAGAAATGTTCCAAACACAAATTCCTGCCTTCATCTCATACCCATTAAATTGGAAACTCAGGGGGTGGGGCAGAGCAATTGGTGTTCCAACAAGCCCTCCGGGTAATTCTCATGTACCCTCTAGTCTGAAAACTGCTGTCACGGACTATTGATTGTTTTGAGGATTGGTCTCAGTTGGAGAATGGATTGCAGAAGCATTGTGTGCTTTGTCTCTCTTTCTGTCTCTCTTTTACCATCTGTCTCTCTTCTCTCTGTTTCTTTTTTCTCTAAGCAATGGTACTCACTATAAAAGTGATGACCTCAACTTTAGACTCATTTTTATTGGGAATGTAATGATATATATGTGAAGTCCTTCAGCCCCACCCCCTACTGGGGACTAGCACCGCTCATGGCACATCATAGATCTTCATTGTCTTACATTTTATGAGTGGATTTCATCTACATTATATCCAATTTCATTTATTACTGAGCTGTATTACTGTGGTGTTCTACAGTATTTTTTCGCTAATCTCAACCTCATTGCTACAGAGCACTTTGAATACATAGCACCTTATGGGAAAGATTGTAAACTTGTTAATTCCATTGAAGAATGAGTTTTGTACAATGTGCTAAATGGAAATTACATTGGATTATTTTTGTATTTAACACATTCCATCAAAACATTCTGTAAAATTATACTACAGTCTGCATGTGGGTTTGACTGTGAAATTCAGTGTTGTGGTATTTCGATGAAGTGAATTCTTTCTCTGCAAATACTATATTGATAAAATTATTTTATGTTCGACTGAACTGATTATCCTAGTTTCATTATTAAAAGCATAAATAAATCATATATTTACAGATGAGACATGAATGGTCCTTTATAAATAAGACTAGACTTTTAAAATCTTCTTTGTTCTTTTCCTTACAAAATTTAAACTCCATAGAGTAGAGCAGAGAGAATTACTTTCATTGGGCTGTATTTTTTGAATATATGTGTTTATATTGACTGCGTTCATATATGTCTTTCACATATACAGAATAATATCGAGAGGAAAATTGTTATCATTATTTCATAGATAAGTAAATAGAAGCTCAGTTAAGTGACCTGTCTAAAATCATGGTCAATCTCATGTCTTCTCACTCCAAACTCTGACTGTTTAAATCACATACACTTCCTTCTAGGAAGAGGAATATTAAATAGGTACTAAGATGCTAAATGTGAATCTCTACATATTTTTGTTTACTTGTAGAAGTAAAAATCAAATCTCATGCATATGTCTTTTATCAATAAGAAAAGGGTTATAGTTCCAGTCATTATTGATCAAAGAATATGATAGATTATTTAAATAATTCAAGAGAGAAATAGACAACCAAAGTAAAGATAGACAGAATGAGGTTATTTGAATTTCTTGAGTTAAGCCTTTTCTATGGCTTTGTAAAGTCTTGTGTTGTAAATTTAAATTATAGTTGAGTAGTTTAAAACTTCTAAGATCAATAATTTTGCCACGATGATTGCCATTGGAAATCATTATTTGAGAAAAGAAAAGAAGGCTGTAAAAAGATTCATCTAGCATGTGAAGTATTCCAACAGCTTCAAGGACTGTGGCCCTTGAGAGGCCACTTCTGACCTTGGATAATATTTTCTTCTAGTCTCCTATACCACCTGTGTCACTTGAAAGATATTCCCAGTTATCGTGGCCAGCAGCAAGAGGTACAAAGAACAGGGAATAAATACAGCTGGGATTCTTTAAAAGTTGCTCTCAAATTCACTCATTTTTCCCCCTTTATTATGTTTTCTCCTTCCCTCAAATATCATGCCCTGTGACAGGAAAACTATGCTCTTTAAAATAACAGAAAACATAAACTCTATGATAAAATGCTGGATGTTTGAGAATGCACATTCCCTTTGAAATTCCTATCAGAAGTCTCAGACTGTTTAATAATCTTTGCAACCTTATAATATTTTGGAGTGATGCAAACCCCGTTTTTTACTAGGGAAAATGAGGTACACAGAGATACCTGAAACAGATAAGCTGATACCAAAGAATATATAAGAGCTAGCTCTCTGTCTCCTTTGTCAAATGTTTTCTGGTCCTATTAAATATCTGCTTATGATTAAAGGGCATAGAAAGGGCAATATTATAGGAGAAATCTCACACTTGTTCAGGAGCTTGGTACGAATGTGACACAGAGACCCTCAAGCTGGTGTGGGTGTACCTCTGAGGGGAGATGAAGCTTTTCAAGGGATTCACTGCTAAGGCTACTTTGTAGACGTCAACCTCCATATGTACTTTTGTCATAAAATGGACCTGAGAGCTAGCCTGCAGTCAAGGCTAATCTCCCTGTTGCCAATCTCCCATTCTCTCTTCATAATAGAGACCAACTCTTCATCCATTTACCAATTTTACTATGTTGTCTCTGGGATGACACAAATGACAAAGCAACGATTTGAAATATGGTGCAGATATTGAGAAAGGGAATGACCTTAATGGCTGGTTAATAAATCCTTCTGCAAGTCAAGGGGTTTTCAATTCTTTGTTTTCAAGAACATTAAATTAGGACCTAATTGACTTGTCAGCTGATAAGCCACTTAAATCATTTCTGGTATTTCATCAGTCCATGATTTTTGCAGTACACACAGTCAAAACTACTCAATCCTGACATTTCAGGGCAAAAGCAGCCATAGACAATATTTAAACAAATGGGTGTGTAAACTTTATTTACAAAGAAAGGTGAACTGCCAA